AGCTCTTGATCCTCAGGACTGGAAGGCAAGAGACCAGCATGGATGAGTTGAGACCAGCAGGTGAAACTAAAAGGTAAGATAATGAAGAGGCAGTATTAGTACGGGCTTGTGGATGCCAGCCGGTCAGGGAGAAATGGCAATCGTTTCTCACAGTGGCTTGTGAGACTTTTTAGGGATTTGTAAGAATGTGATAACTTGTTAGTATAAACAATCTGCAGCTGGTGTTTTTCCACCTAGTTTTCCTGCTCTTCTCAAGGACGGTGTGTGTGAGAAAGATTTTTTTATTAACTACACAACCAAGTGGAATGTATCGTATCAGTCTATAATAACTGAAGATTCTTTTGTAATAAAGCCTTCTTTTCTCCTCTTGCATTTGGGTCGTTCATCTGTTCTTGTGTCATTCTTGGTGCTAGGGTGACACGGGCTGGTATCCTGGCAAAAGTATGGAGACATTGCCTGGTTGTGAAGGATAGGGTCAGTAAGGCCAAGGTACAGCTGAAGTTGAACTTAGCAAGAGACACCAAGAAAAACAAGAAGATCTTTTGCAGGTATGTTAGTCAGAAAAGGAAGGTCAAAGCAAGTGTACTTCTTTGATGAACAAGCCTGGCAAAGTGGTTCAGACAAGAAGAAGGTTGATGTACTCAACAACTATTATGCTTCAGCCTTCAATGGCAACCTCTCCAGCAGACAGACCACAAAACAGGAACTGGGAAGGCAAAATAGCTCACACTGTAAGAGAAGGTTAGGTTTGTGACCACCTGAGAAACCTGAGTCCAAGTCTGTGGGACCTGACAAGATGCACCCCAGAGGAACTGGTGATGTAGCTGCCAAGCCACTCTCCACGACATTTGAAAACTCATGGCAGTCAGATGAAGGCACAGACAAAAGGGAAACATTGCACCCATTTTTCAAAAGGATGGGAAGGAGGACCTCAGGAGTTACTACCTGCCAGCCACACCTCTGTACCTGAGAACATCATGGAACAGATGCTCCCAAAAGCTCTGCAAAGGCATACAGAGCACAGGGAAATGATTCAGGACATCCAGTACAGCTTCTCCTAGTGGCCTTCCCTTGCCAACTGATGGAGTCACTTAATTGTGGAAGGGCTACGAATATTGTCTGTCTATATCCTGTAAGGCCTTTGATAAAGTCCCCCCGCAAAATCCTTCTCTGATTGCACAGGTAAAATTAGACAAAGGCATCAATGAAGAAAAGTAATGGGCATATGCATAAACATAAAAGAATTTGAAAATTCAGAGCTAATTTGGTTTTTGTAAAGGAAGGCAAGGAGCATAAGCAGGGGTAGAAACCCTGCACAGAAGGGCTCTAAGAGGCCTTACTCTGCCTAAAGAGGCCACAGCAAATGTGATTACCACAAAACACTTCTGAGTTCTGTACCACTCCTGCTACTCACTGGGGTCTTGGGAGACATCTCTGAGTCTGATGTAAAATACTACCTGGAGCTTACCTTTCTTCACACATCAGCAGCTCAGAAGCACTCAAAATGCAACTGTGTTTGAGAAATTATTAATAAATAAAATACAGAACAAGACATAGAACACTGTTATGGTACAATAGCATCTTGAATACTGACTGAAGTTCCAGTTCTGCAGCTTTCCTTCCCAAGAGGATACACTAAACCAGCAAAAATGACAGAGGATAAAATGTTGATTGAAAGCACAAAGCAGCTTCAGGTGTAGAAGCAACTAAGCAGTAAGATGTTTCCACTTGAAAAAAAGAGATCATTAAAGAGAACATCTTAGGAGATATGAAGGAGAATACAAAAATAAAGGGATAAATGAACAAATGAAACTGGGCAGGCAGATTGAACAACATGTTTATACAACATGTAGATAAACTCAGAATCCCCTTGATATGTCTAAGAACTCCACAAACAGCTGGTCTCAGAATACCGGCCACACTATGAAATGCAAATCCATGATGGCTATTACACAGAATCCAGCTGGACATCAGTCAGTCCCTTAGCTAAAGGGAATTATTGAAGACTGGAAGAGTACTCCAGAGAACTGTTGCTATGCATGTTACATTCTTCTTTTCTCTAGACAAATGGCTTTGACAGAGATCAATTAACAGGCTAAGCACACCTTTGGTCCAACTCAAACTGTGGGGGCCGAAGAGCCAGCCAAAGAAGAGCTTGCTGCACTCCCCTGGAGGGCGAACCCCTGAGCCACTGACTTTAGGGTGAGTAAATATCACCCCCAGAGGCCTTTGCAGGTCTATGTTAATCCCTTGTTGCTCATTGGTCCCTGCCCTCATGCCCCACCCCTGAGCCCACATCCCATTGGTTACTGGTTTTGTCCCGCCCCTCACCTTCCCTCTATAAATCCCTGGTTTTCCCTAGTTCAGAGAGCTTCTGTTCCTGGCTCCCTTCGCAGAGGGCCCTGATTTTAATCAAGGCCGCTATGTGGAACACCCTACAGAGCTCCAGTCTCTTTCTCCACATTGCCTGAGCTGATTATCACACGCTGGGCTGGGAGAAGGACATGCCTGTGCCCCTGAGCTGTCCTTCATAGGATGCCTTCAGGAAGGTTGTGGCACCCTTACCACCACCGCAATAATAAACTACTCCAGAAAAAGCCTTGGGATGCTTCTTGTTGACTTAGTAGGGAAAATTATATCCAATTATGTCAAACACTAAAAATCCCCAGAAAATGTTACAACGTTGGTAACACAGAGAAAAAAAATCTAAACAAATATGTGCCCCAGAATCCAAGCCCTGGGAGCTGAATTTGCACTCATATGGAACTCTGGCATAGTGTTATCTGTCAGTATCTGAACAAGATACAGAAAGACATAAGCAGAAGGGCTTCCTCTGAAGTCCATTACATTGACAAAAAAACCTTGTTATTTCCTAGACCACAGGTGCTGTCTCAAATCCTTGTGTCCTATCCAAGGCTCTTGATGCAGGTTGGTCAGCTGCTTCACAAGTTGAAATTGTGCAAGTAGTCAGCTCCAGGAAGGAACTAAACACAGGATAACCCTTAGGCTCCTTTGGGCACAAACCAGACCTGATGTTACCACCTCCAACTGTACTCTGTGGCTTCCCTGGAGTATCTTCAGTGCCTTCAGAGCTTTCCATGGTCACAAACCCAGGCTTTGGGAGAAAAAAATAAATGGGGTATCTGCTAATAAACCAGGAGGTTGACTGTGATCCTATGTTGCAAGGGAAGTCTATTATCTCCTGTCCCAGCAAACCAGCCTATTCCAAGCAAACAACAGAATGGCAGTGTTTGGGATCACTCCTGGCCAGACTGTGCTGTCATCCTTAAATCTCTCCTCTGTTATGAGCTTGAAAGAGAGATACAGGAAATAGTAGTGAATTTTACGTGCACAATTTTCCACAAGGTATTTGTACAATCTCTTAGGGCTATCAAAAGTCTAAAGAATAGGAATCAACTGGATTCTCATTACCTGCCAAGTGAAGATACTTCTTACAAGGATACCTTAATCAAAACAGAGAAATATGAGAGGTGAACCAAATTCCCGGTTACTACTGTTGCTCTCTTATGGAGTTTGCTTTAAAAGCCAAGCAAGAAGAGTACCTGCTATCACAAGATCAGAGAGACAACCTTAAAGTCCACATGATGCCAGCTGCCATGCAAAATATACTATCCAAAATAAATGCCAAGACTGCTGGCCTGAGGCTTTGAAGAGGAAAAACAGTCCCAACAGGAACATCACAGTAGGGCTGGGTGGGATTCACCTCACTGCACTTCAGGGGTTTTACGGCTGACCTAGTTACCAGAGGGGTTTTTCATGGTTAACAAAAGCTGAGCTAACCAAGTCCACAAATACCAGCACACAACTTGCCTGACCACATGCAGGCCTATGGTATTGGCTGTGCTTCAACAGACTTTACACCGACTCAAATGCAGATGCTTACACTATCACTATTTCATGTTTGGACAGTTGTTTTAGGGCAAATTCAAAAAATATCTCCAATGGCTGACTTCAAAAAAAGCAGAGAAAATGAGTATCTAGGGATATAGCAAAATTTACAGAGAAAACATGAAATGCTTTATCATAAATCATCTAGCTGGCCAGATTAAAAAGACAGGGAAAGTAAACACTTAAGTCCTTTTATAACCACTTAGTTGCAAATGAAGAGAGATGAGAGACTTACAGTAGGCCTTAGTGGCACTGCCAGATTAAAACTTATTTTATGGCTGACAACATTGATAAACAGGTGATGTACGTAATGATCTGCTTGGGAAAAATGTGTAATTCCTGAATCTTATATATTAAAATAGGCAGCAAAATTCAATTAGAAGCAAGAATTTATTTTTCCATTACATATATTAATTTTTAAATGAAATTTCTACTGCTAAACAGTATTTGATTACAAATAATTCCCATGGGAATTGAAATAATGGATTCTACTTGGCTTCAGGAACGAGTTTATTATGCCAGTTCTCTGTGGTGCAAACTGAACAGCAGTTAAAAAAAAATTAGTCAGTACAACGTCTTCTCCCAGCACATTTACATTGTGGCTTCATGTCTTTTCAAGGCAACACTACTTCCATATTCCCAAACTGCTCAGGGTCAACATTTTCCCTATTCTTCCATTTCTCCCATCACTCATACAGTGAGCCAGACCAAATAAAAATCATTAATTAACCCTCCTTGGATGGATCAATTTTAATCTAGGTCTCTTTCTCAATCTAGTTTACCAAGCAGCTGCACACACACGTGTTCACGTAAAGGGAGGTATGACAGGACAAAGCAGGTACAGCCATTTGCTTGAGTCTCACATTACATGACATTCATCTTACATTTACAAATGCACTTGTCTATACACTGCTGGAATTATGTGCTCTGACCAGCTGTACCAACAATCAGAAGGATTTTCCCTCTGACAAACCTGTGTCTTCTCACAGATCTCCTTCCAGGAGGTGTTTTAAGAAGCATCATTAGTATCATTTCCACAGCAAATATTGCCCATTCTAATTGAAAGAAAAGAAATTGAATACCCTCCTCACCTTTTATTGAACTCCTCAAGTTCTGCTCTCAGTTTTCCTATTTCAATTTGTAATCTAGCCCTCTCTTTGGCAGTTTCATCCAGAACTCTTCGAGCATCAGCCAGTTCAGACTCATAGAGACTCTTGATTCCACTCACCTAAGGGGAAAAAAAGTATTTGGGTATGAGAACATCACAACAACTATCAAAAGAACTGAAACATAGGATCAGTTTACACACAAGTTTCTTTGAAAAAGGATGTATGATATGATTTCTGCCATTTAAGAACATTCTATATTGAACATTTTCAATGAATGAGCAACCCAAAGATTTAGTTTTTATTACTACTGCAACAAAACATACTCTGTTTGAAATGTGCAAACCTTCCCAAGAGATAAACTGAACTAGATCAGTGCACCTTACAATCTTAACTTCAATTATTCGCCCTTATTCCCAATACCGGTGCCTTGTGAGATCTTTTGTTTTTTAACACTTGAAGACATTTTGTGGAATACAAGCCCAAGGGTCCATTTTGACTCTGCTGTTCTTCCACTACAAAGCTACAAAGGGTCTGAAACCACATGAACTAAAGAAATGTGAATTGTTCAGAAGTGAGCTTCCACTCTTGTTCTCTATCTCAGAGGGTAAAGAACTACAGACTTCTCCCTGTCCCAAAATAATCTATCATATAATCAGTAATACAGACTGCATGAGGCACCTGGAAGTCTTCTATACCTTTATATTTTTTTATAAGACAAATTATTTGAAAGTTACATCAGACAGCTAAAATGCAGACCATGTAAGATTGCTACTTTTGCTTCTGTGAAAGGATACCAGGACAACTTTTATAGAATCATAGAATATGCTGAATTAGACCTGTCAGGAGTATCATGTCCAACTCCTGGCCCTGCACAGGGCACCCCAACAACCCTACACTGTGCCTGAGAGTGTTGCCCAAATGCTCTTTGAGCACTGGCAGCCTTGGTGCTCTGAGCACTTCCCCAGGGAGTCTGTCCAGTGCCCAACCACCTCCTGGGAAAAAACCTTCTGACATCCAAGCCAAACCTCCCCAACTCAGTTCCATGCTGTTTCCTCATGCTCTCTCATTGGTCATGAGAGTGTACAGACTAGTGCCTGTCTCTCATGAGGAGGCTGAAGACTGCATTGAGGTCTCCCCTCAGTCTGAACAAACCAAGTGCCCTCAGCAGCTCCTCACACAGCTTCCCCTCTAGACCCTTCCCCATCCTTGTGGCCCTTCTTTGGACACTTCTCTATTAGCTTAATGTCTTTTATACTGTAGTGCCCAAAACTGCCCCCAGAACTCAAGGTGAGGCTGCTCCAGTGCAGAGCAGAAGGACACAATCCCCTCCCTCACGCAGCTGGCCTGATGCCCCTAAGGACATGGTTGGCCCTCCTGGCTCCAGGGCACTGCTGACTCAGATCCAACTTGCCATCAGCCAGAACCCCCAGGTTGCTTTCTGTAGCCTCTCTTCAGCTTCTCGTTCCCCATTCGATCCACACAACCACGCTGCCCCATCCTAGAGGCACCATCTAGCACCTGCCCTTGTTAAGCTTCACATGGTTGGTGATTTTCCATCTCTGGTTGGTCAGCATTTCCCTGGAGGGCCTCTCTGCCCTTGCAGCTGTTGACAGCTACTCTCAATATAGTGTCATTGGCAAACTTCCTTAGAATCCCTCTGAGTCCTGCACCCAAGGATCACTGATGAAGATGATGGCAGGAGGTTGGAGACCCATGGAACTTCACTTGTGACCAATGTCAGCCTGATGTTCCTCTGTCACTATAACCCATTGTGCCCAACTTGTGAGCCAGTTCCTCACTCAGCGTGTGACAGGGTTATCCAGCTGTATGCTGGACATTTAATCAGGTGGATCCTGTCTCTCTGAAGCAGTTGTGAATCCTGAAAGAGTTCCTTAAAGAATCAAAGAATGAGTTGGGTTGGAAAAGACCTCAAAGCTCATCTCATTCCACCCCTGCCATGTGCAGGATCACCTTCCACTATCCCTGTTTGTTCCAAGCCTCAATCTGGCCTGAACATTTCCAGGGATGGGGCAGCCACAGCTTCTATGAACAGAGCAGAGGTGCAGAATCCCCCCTCCCCTGCTGCCCACAATGGGGGCTCAGCCTATCACAGAGGAGGTTTCTGGGGGTTAGTGCCAATGGTCAGGGCAGGTTCAGCCCCTCACTCACCAACACCCCCAAGTGTCCTTCTTCCCAGAGTGACTCTCAATCCATTCTCCACACAGCCTAAATTTGCACTTGGAGTTTGTTGTAGAATCCAAAACCCTCTTGCCAACAGCAGTTGTGTAATCCAGAGTTGCTCTGCAGGATTTGCTTGACTATCCTCAAGCCCTTCACTCTCCCCACACCACCTGGGCTCTGATGACACTGACAATCATTGTCTTGATTTGAAAGACAGGTGTCTGCCAAGGAAGGCAGAAACCTCCCTAGGAATGAAAAATGTGACCTCTTCTCCCCAAATTATTTTAACTTTGAAATGATGGGACTTTCAGGCAAAGGTATGGGAAAATGAGTAACAGTTCTTTACTAGTATGCTTATGTATAACAAGGCAAACAAACAAGAGCAGCAACAAACAGAAGCACAGAGCCAGCCCCAGTTCCAAGCACAGCCCCAGCCCCAAGCACAGCCAACGACAAGTGACTCTAGACAAATTTGCTGATGAAATATTAATCTCATAAGAATACATTAATGTGCAAACACAAGTGTATTCCAACCAGGTGTGGCTCAATATTTTCTTATTTAGCCAGTTATAGATTGACAAAGGACTGCCAGTCAGCTATGGTTCAGGCCCACCAAGAACATCAGTCAAGTTCTCAAGAACAATGAAGATGTGTGTTATGTCACCTCCAAGATGACATTTACAGCGCCAGAAAACTATTCAACCCAATATTTCAGAGGATGCAACTTGAGTGACCCAACGTCCACAGAAGCATCTAAGCATGTATTTTGCAGGTGACAACTAGGCAACACCAAACCCTCATATCCTGGTCATGACAGTAGCTCTGGCCACCACACATGGTGCACACAAAGGGCATGGTAGCTCCAACACTGGCAGGTAAGAGGAAACCACGTGAGACTGCATCTCTGTAGGCGTGGGCGCACCTGCACTCACACCCATGGAGACATGGAGACACGGGTGAAGAGGGAACCCCATAGATCCTCCTTTTGTTACAAGGGCAATCACTGTCAGCAGCTGAGGCTCCCAAGGATCTTATTTCTCTAATTCTCCTTTGAGAGGGTGAGCACAGTGGGGTGTTCTCTGAACAGCACAGTAATCCCTCCTGTCTCCATCAAAACGTGTTTTCCAGAAGGCTACAACCATACGCGCTGCAGGAGAGAGTCGGGAGTTAGTAAAACGCAACTGAGGAGAGCTCTAGGACTGTTCTCTTAGCTCTTCCAGTATGTCTCCTCCCAGCCTCACAAATTAATTACTGCAACAGTGACCCAACACAGTGAGAACAGCATCAGTCATGTACTAAGGATGCAGAAAAACAAGGGGATGAGCTCAATTTCTCTTCTGTCACAGGCTAACTTACACAAGGGCAGTGATGGAGGAAAGCACACAGAGAAGGAATGACAACAGTTAGAGGTTCCCTCAGCCACATCTGCAAACTTTTTTTTTGTATTTTTCTAAGGGCTTACAGTATACACTTTTTATTTGTCCATGTGCCTACTGCATACAAGTAAAGCAGCATTGGACAGGGTTAGAAAAAAGGCTATAATTAATAAAGAACTAAAGATTAATCAACTGCAAAGCTCCTTTTCTCTGCTCTTAAGAGATGGCAACCCCATGTTCATCAAAAAGAACAGGAATTATATTTTTCTAAGACCATGCTGAGACTGCCACACAAACAGCAAACAGCTGCTTTCTGCAATCTTGTTCAAGTTGGTGATTGAAACAATGAGGAAAAAGAACATCCTGATCAGCTGATGATTAAAGAATCTCTGACAGAACAACAACTACAGTCCTTGCCTGATCAGCATCAGTGGAACTTCTCTCATCCAGAAGACACTACCCTAAACCAGAACTTTGAGCACAGCTCAAAACCGTTCCCACGCATGCAGGGTTGGGGCAGGGGGTGTCAGGAATGGTCACCCATTACTCAGGACATGTCATGTCAGCAAATAACAGTCTCACCCAGCTCAGGTATGGTCCCTGTGGGATACTAGAGTGACAAGCAAAGAACAAACACGTCTCTCATGATAACCACGGTTCTGTATACTGCTTGCCATAGCTATCCCTAACCTTGAGAAATCCACCTTTGATCATGGACCCCTATCATCTGCTCTCTAGACAGAAGTCTGAGGTAGTAACCAAGGGCCCATTGGTGAGCAGCCCTTCCTGTCTGCTTCCCACAATGTCCATGATACCATCTACCACAGTGGCAGGCAGCGTTTTCTGCCATTACCAAAGAAAAGCCAAAAATAACAGAATACTGAATTAGCTTTTATAAAATAATACATAAGATCAGACTCAAATTTACACACAGTTGAGGACAACAAATGGGAATTTTCATTTTGAACACTGTGGAAAAAGAAAATAGTCTCCTATAAGCATGCAGAGCTTAGATGCTTAAAGACTGAATAATGCAGAGAGAACAGTATGTAAATTTCACTGGACTATGTTTAACTGTGCTTCTACACAGAAGTTAGAGCTGCTTTGGGGTTTGTTTGGGGGAGGTTGTGGGATTTGGAGGATTTATTTTTAATTAATATCTTATTTCACACTAAGCCTAATAATTTTATGAATGCAAATTCCAACAATTAATAATTGCTGGAATTTGCTGAATTGTCAGCAGAAAATCCAATTTACTAGGCTGGTCCTGAAAGTGAAAGGATTCTCCCATTCCAGTAAACAGAAAATCTGACAACTATGTGAAGGCTTACTGCTTCTACAGTCCTAAACCAATGTTCACTACCCAGTACTAAAACAACAAAACTACAAAGTTTCCTTTTGTGGACATACATAAAGAATAAACAGACCTTCCTAACAGGATGAGGAAAGTATTTAACAAAGGTGGTCCAGAGACAAGCCAAAGCATCAGTGCCAAAGAAGAGCTTGATGAATCCTGAAGAAGTTTGCTATGTCTAAGGATTAAGACCTTTTTGAAGTCTGGATGAAAAAAACAGAGGTGGAAAGTTCAAAGTAACCTAAAGGTTCCTATCAATATTCTCAAGTTTATTTTCTGATTACTGCATCAGAATACTTTTCAGAATTGCTCACACAGTACATTGTTACAAACTGTTTTACGCTTATGTTAAAAGTCTAATGAAATTATATCTATGTTGTCTGCTTGTCCTCTTATTCTTGCTACATATGTGCCGTCAATAGAATTACATTCTGCCTCTCGCATTTCAAAGGGATACTCCTTCTAGCCTCCAGCAATCTACACCTTAGAAGTTCCCTAAATTAGATGTGTTTATTTTGTTTATAGCATGATTTCACACGGTAAGTGATGTTTCATGCTTAGAAATAGTTAGTGATTTTGAAAGCATGGAAGTTACAATATATCATTAAATGATACAAAGGGACTTTAAAGGTACTTCTGCTTTGGGCACACATACACTGATTGCAGGTACTCCAAACCATCCCCAAATAAGACATTATAACATCTGCTTACTTAAACTAAATTAAATCAAATCCTCCTCCCAACACCCCAAGAATCATCAAATCAGCATCTCAAGGGGTGAAAGAAGGAAAAAAGACAAAAAAAAAATTAAAAGCGACACAGCGGCACAGCGATCCATCACATCCCAGAAGTTACAGTCCAGGCTGTTTATTGATAGGCTTTCCACAGCACCTTAACATCATCTCAATGGTGGGACACCGCAGCTTGCTGAGGGGGTTTGGACTCGCACAGGACGGGACTGTCCCCAGTGTGTCACGGACTACATCCTTCCGCCACAGGGGAAGGACAGTACCGCGGAAAGCGGACACCACAGAATAGGGAAAAGCAAGGCTTAGGGAAAAAAAAAAATCATGCAGTTTCCTTCCAAAACTGGAGGAAACAAATCAGAGTCGCTTACACGGACTTGATTCCGAGTATTTACGGAGTCTGTAAAAGATTTCCTACGGCCAGAGGCAAGGCCAGTCTAAACCCTTTCAAATCTCCCATCCCATTGCATCAGCCGTCAAGACCAGAGGCCGTAGGGGACACCCGACACGCCGGTACCAGAGGACTCGTGTGCTATGGGCGCCGGGCACTGGAGGGCTCGGACCGCCCGCGACCCCGGCCGAGCACCGCCCGCGGCCGAGGGGCCCGCAGCGGCTCCGCGCTGCAGCCCGGCCGGCGCGGCAGCGCCAATACCGCCCGCAGCGCCGCGTCCGCCCCGCTCCGCTCCCGCCACCGGCACGGGCTCCTCCCCGTGCCGAATCCCGCCTTGAATGTGTCGCCAGTAGTCCCTCAGCGCGACACCGCGGCCGGAGTGCCCCCGGCCGCCCCGAAGGGCCGCGCGGGTAGGTGCTGGGTCTCCACAGCCCCCGCTCCCCGCGCGGCGGACGGGCATGGCGCGGCGGCCGCACGGAGCCGCCACAGCGCAGCCCGCGCCGCGCAGGGAACGGGCGGGAGCTGGCCGGCCGAGCCCCGGGCCGCGGACCCGCCCCGGGACGGAGGCGGGGGGCGCCACACGGGCAGCCGCTGCTCGCCCCCAACTCCGGCCGTACCTCCCGGGTGGTGACCTCCTCCTTCTCCGATATCTTCAGCAGCAGACGGTCGTTCTCCAGCTCCAGTGCCCGCACACGGTCAATGTAAACAGCCAGGCGGTCATTGAGCTGCCGCAGTTCCTCCTTCTCCTGTAGCCGGGAGATGCGGGTCGGCGACAGCGGGGTCCCGCCGGGGGTGCCGCGGCTCGGAGTGCCTGACATGGCGCTGGGCTGGCGGGCGGGCGGGCAGCGACTCATTCAATCCCGCCGCACCGGGGGAGGGAGCGCTAAGATGGCGGGCGGGCGGCCCCTCGCGCCGCGGCGCCGCCTGGGACATGCAGTCCCGGCGCCAAGATGGCCGCGGGGTGCAGCGCTGTCCGCCATTTTGCGGCCGATCGGGGCTCGCGGGCGGTTCGGGCTGCGCGTCACGGACGGAGCCGGGCCTGGGGCCGGTTCTGAACCGAAGAGGTTTTGGTGGCAGCTGCGGAGGGGACTGGAGCGACCGACAGGACTGACCCTCACTCCTTCCTGGCGGAGCAGCAGCCCGGATCCCCCGCGGGGCTCAGGCCTGTGGGCTGATGGGTTCCCTGAAAGGGTGTGTTTGTGTTTTCACTGTAGTTCCCTCAAATATCGTCCACAGTCGCCTGTGCTCTGTGTGATTTTGCCCTTTGCTGTCGGCTGTGCACAGGCCAGGGTCCAGGTATGTGCTGAAATGGAGAAAACATGGATTGGACATCCCAAGGTTGATATTTTTAGGAGTGCCTGAAGAGTGATGTTTTTTTGGCTACATAGTCAGACTTTGTACAAACTAAAATTCACTGAGAAGTTTTCTGTTCCTGAGTATTTGGAGTCGTATTTTTCCCCAAAACCCCAAATTCTGTCAGTTCTTGCGCATTAACTAGTATAAACTAGATTACCGTTCCTGATAAAAGCTGTTCCTAGTCTTGTGCCTTTTTGCTGAGGGAGCTGAAGAGAGGGCTGAGAAAAAGGAGAAGTTGAAAAAACAGACTGAAAAGTGTGTCATCTATATGCAGACTAAAGAGAAAAAATAGCAAGAGCATTATACAAAGGTGGGAGTATAAGTCTGGATAGAGAAACAGGAAAGACAGCAAGGAAATACAGCATACAATGTGAAAACTTAGGGACCCAGGGTGAAAAAGTAGGTAGTAGTTATTTGGTCTCAAAATAGAACTAAAACAATCTTCATGTGAAATCCTAGTATCAAGTACACCTCAAACTGGAAAACCTTGGAATAAACCCAGGAATTCTGGATGCTCAATATCCATGTGGGCAAATAGCTGGAAGTCTCTTTAGCAATCACTGCATAAATAACAGGTTTCCACCTGAATGCACTTTACTCAAAATGTCCATCTGATGCAAAACTACTTGTCCTGGCTGCGTGAGACAGCAGAATGCCTGTCCCACCTGCTCGGGCATCCCCTCTCCCGGGACAGCGCTGCGTGTCCCTTCGCCTCCGTCCCCTACCGAGAGCCGAGGGTGGGAGTTCACACACCATTCTGTGGAACGGTGGGTATCAGCGGGTTCCCCGGAGGGTGTTTATGAGGAACAGCTAAAATGAAGCAAGATCACTCCCCGTGCACTTTCTGAAAGGCACAGCCTCTCTACACGAGGGCCGCTGCCGGCAGGGCGCTGCCAGTGAGATCTGATGATATGACGGGCGGCTTAGCGCGAAATTCAGCTTTCTGCCTGAATCGGGAAAGGAAGCACAGAGCAGAGACTACAAATCCCAGGGTGCTGCGGTCGCTGCTCGCAGGGAGTCGGATCCTGCCCCACCCGCCCCCTGCGCTTTGTTCCAGCCGCGCTGGGGAGCTGCAGTGCAGTACAGCGCGTGTTTTGAATTTTGGCGCCTGTCTGCAAACTGTAACCGAGCTGCTGCTGGAGCGGCTCCAGACCCAGCCCCAGCCCCTTCTCCTGCCCTACGCAGTCCGTGTCGTCTCTAACAGCACTGTCTTCCCCCGAGCAAACCAAAAAAAGACCCCTGAGCATCAAGCCGTACACTTAGAGTGAACTTTTTCTCTCTTTAACATTCAGTTTCCAACACTAGCAAATTTGTGGAAGACCAGCTATAAGCTCTGTTTGTGCTAAGACAGCAAAAAATATTTTAAGAATGCTGAAAGCATCTGCATAAGCATTTTTGGGTTATCTCACTTCTCTTGTTATTTGATGTGATCATCTGTGCATCTATCATGTTTTAGAAATTCTTTTAAGCTTTTTGCCTAATTTTGATTGATAATGTAAACCAGATGTAAATCCCCTTTGTTCATGAAGTGGAGAAAATGGCTTAGAAAATTTGTTTCAAGAGTTTGTGTGCTTTGGAATTTGTTGGGTTTTTTAGTTTGCTTTTGGGTTTTTTTTTTTTTTTTGGTTTGAGGTTTTTTGTTCTTGTTGGGGTTTGTGTTTTGTTTTGGGTTGGGGGGGTTTTGTGTGTGTGTTTTTTTGTTTGTTTTGTTCTTTTTTTTTTTTTTCTTCCCTGTTTGTTTGGTTTGGGTTTTTTTCTTTCTAGTGTTACTGGGTATTTTCATAATATTGCTATCAACTGTATTGCAGTAAAGGTTTTTTTTTTCAAAATATACTTCCTGAAATATGCATTGATAATTATACCTGATATTTTCTACATTTTTAGAAAGTCCCTTTCTTTAGCAGTAACCTGGACATTTGCACAATTCCATCCCTGACACCAATCTCCACTTGTTAACAGAACATGTATGTTCACTTTTCCTATCTCTTCTAAAATGAAGAGAATGGTTTGGAGGTGAGATGGGGAGAGGAAGCATCAAGGAAGAAAGGGAAGTGGAAAAGCCGAGTGCCCACTCACTAGCTGTGTTTTCCAGGGAGTGCAACACAGGTTTCACTTGTGGTTTTGCATCTATTTAAATACTGGTCCTCTTGGATCCCTCCTATGATAGGCATTTAGTATTGAACCATGGTCAATATGGTGACTTATCTCTTAATGTTTAGCAATTAGTTTTTTATTAGAAACCTTGACAGATCTTTGCTACCCAATACAATTTTACAATAATCTCTTTCTGTTTTGAGCAGGTAGAATGGATTTGTTATTCCAAGACAAAACAATTTAGTGTCTTAGACCAAGGGATGGTATAGGGATGTGTCAGCCTCATCTGGATCTGGCTGGAAAACCAGTTTAAAAAAAAAAATAAATGGCTGCATTCCTGGGCATTCAGATTGGAAACCTGTTCAGACTACACTGCAGCTCCTGCCTTGCCCACTCTCCCAGGCTTTCTCTTTGTGGAAGGTGGAGCAGAGGAGGAAGCTGCTGCAGGTACAGGTCCCACCCTGATATAAAGTCAGGAACTTGGAAGAGCCCTGGGTTCAGTATTGAAGCTCTAGCTCAAAGACACTTGCAACGTGTCTAACTGTCTGCACAGGATAAAAACAAATTTTTGGGATGTCAGACAGATGGTAGAGATTGGCTCTGTTTAGGTCTTGAGTGTTTCTTCCACCAGATAAATTAAGGCATTGCTTCTAGTACATAATAAAGACAAAAGGAAACCTTGTGTGCCCTTTGATGCAGAGGACCTTCTCATTTGTTGACCAGTTTCCTGTACATTTGGGTGTAACAAATTTTCTGATTCTATCTGAGATTTCATAATGACTCTGACATTTTCATAAATCTGGAGATACGGGATTTCCAATGCTACTTCTTAACTGCTTTTGTTTCTCAGCAGTTGCTGCCATGCTCTCCCATTTCTCATTTTACACTCTTTTATTTGTATGTCTTGAATAGGATTATTTCTAGCTTTCCTGTAGTCACCTAACTCCCCCTCTGCCTTATGTTCTTCACCTTGCTCAAAAAGCCAGACAATGTTTCACTGATTGTCTCAGATATTGTCATTAATTTCACAAAGGAGAAAGGATTGAACATATATCACATAACATTTTCCTATCAGTCCAAATTCAATTTGGCCTCAGCATTAGTGCTCAAAAAATTACTGCAATTAGTCCAAGTCTGGAAGAAGTTCTCTTATCTCAGCACAGAATTCTGCTCCTGAATTTCATCTTTCATTGAATAAAATTGTTTCCAGCAGTGTCAGGACAGAAAGCACTAAAGCAAGTGAGAAAATGAATGGCATACCATGAGTCATGGATGAAACCTTCCTCATGCACTACGAGAAAGTTTGCTGAGATGTAAAAAAGAGTAAAGAGGAACTTGGCCCACAATTGTGGGCTTAAAGCCAACAGCAGACTGACTGTAGGACAAGGGTTTTTTTCAAGATGAGACATCATGCTGTAATGTGTAAAGGGTGTGGTTTTTTTCTGAATCCAGCATCTACTGTTTGACAGGAGTTTTGAAAAATAATATTCTTTTGCTACAGCATTTACCTCCTTACTGAGGCAGAATTCAAACTGTATCACACTGGGGGAAGTGTCAACCAAGTCTGGACAGAGAGAATTCTGGTCTGTGCTTAGAATTGTTCCCACTTTTGTGGCAGGAAGGTGAGTAACTTCTAAGTGTGGCCGTTTAGACTCTTTTGTACTGGAACCAGATCCTGGTCTCATGTGATCAGAAAGAAATGAGAATTTAATTAAAAAAACACTACATATTTCCCAACATTTCAACAGAAAAGGGGTAAAAGAAGATGCTGAAGGGTCAGTGCTCAGGGCTTCCCGACTTTCCACAATTCCACTTCGTCATTTTTCTACAGAGTAATTTGTTTATAATAGCATGTTGGGTTATAATTTTGTTTTTCTTTTTTCTTAGGGAATTCTCCCCCCCCCTTTTTTTTTCTAAGAAACAATAGCGATCGGTACTTAGGAAGGGCAAAAGAAATTGCCAAGCTCAGGGGAGAGAAGGGCATCTGGCTGCGCTTCTCTTATCTGAGAGTTTCTCTCGGAGGGGCAGAGATACTGCAGGAATTGGACTGCTAAAAGAAAGGCCCGGGGCGGCTGCCAGCTCGATTGCTCTCTTGGCTTCGGAGAGGAAGGCTGGAGCTGCTGCTTGGGGTGGGAATTCGCTGCCACTGCAGGAGCCCAGCCCGGTCCTGCTTCTTCTGCCCTGGGGTGAGGCTTTTGCTCGTCACCGCAGCCACTGAGCAGGGACCTTATTACCACCTGCCTCACCTCACAAAGGACCCTCACCATCTGCTCAGGTGCCTCGGGGCAAACCCCGGCATCCCCGAGCCTCCTCCCCCTCCGAGGGAGCCGGGAGCCGAGCGCGGCCACTGCCCAGCGCCGCCGCTTCTCTGCCACTGCTCCGGGTTTTTCACTGCCCTGTAACTCAGCACCCCCGCCTGCCGGGACACCCCTCGGCTCCTGCTACAGCTGCGCAGTGTCTGTTACATTTCGTTTGCAGCTCCGGAGTCTGCTCGTCCCCGCGGTTCCAGCCCCCGCTCCGAGGTTCCCGCTGCAGCCGCTGCCGCCACCCAGCGCGCCGCCATTGCCGTGCGGAGAGGCGGCACAGCGCCCCCTGCAGCCGCGGGGGAATCAGCGCAGCTGCCCCGCCCGGCCGGGAGCCACCGGCGCCCCTGGCGGCCGTGCCCGGAACTGCGCCAGAGGGGAAAGCACCTGAGAGAGGCTGGGGCTGTGCTTGGGGCTGTGCTTGGGGCTGGGGCTGTGCTTGTTATTGCTGCTGTTGTTGTTTGTTTGCCTTATTTTATATATATACACTAGTAAAGAACGGTTATTAATTTTCCCATATTTTTGCCTGAAAGTCCCATAATTTCAAAGTTATAATAATAATAATTTGGAGTGAAGCAGGTCATATTCTCCATCCCAAGGGAGGTTCTCACCTTGCTGTTGCTGTTTGTTTGCCTTATTTTATATATTTATATATTTGTAAAGAACTGTTTTTAATTTTCCCATATCTTTGCCTGAAAGTCCCATAATTACAAGGTTATAATAATAATTTGGAGTGAAGCGGGTCATATTCTCCATCCCAAGGGAGGTTCTCGCCTTCCTTGGCAGATACCTGTTTTTCAAACTAAGGCATAGCACATGCTAAAAAGAGCCCTGTCTGTAACACAGGAGCCCCAGAGCAGCTTCTTGTGGTACAGCTCATTCACAGTCTCCCCCTGGTGCAGGAGGAGGTGTGTGGTGGGATACACCAGCCTTCAGGGTAGCATCACCTACTGTGTCTCACCCCCACTGGCTCCCCAGGATTCAGGAATTCTTCCAGACTTATAGGAAAACAGATTTCTTGGCAGCTGAATACCATGAAAGCACCACTGAAAACAGATGTGCTGGCCAGGTAGAAAAATGCCACTGCTTCCTTCCAGATTGTGGCAGCCTTTGGAGCCAGACCATGGGTGTGCCTTGTGCAGAGCAGCTGCTGTTTAAAGAGATAAATAGTAACATTATTCTAAAATCAAGGAAGGGATTATTCACATCACTTTTAATGAAATATTGGGCCAATAATGTCTAACACTGTGAGTTTTGTCTTTCACAACAGAGCAGGATTTTATTCTCATTAGACTTCCAAGGATCCAACTCTCAGGGTAGCCTCAGTTCTCAGCAACCTGTGGAGTTCAGGTTCCCTCATTTCATGTGCCAGCCACTCATCATTTAGCCATTTGGCAGTTTGGAGAGGACAGTGAAGGAGGGTGGGGGCTGGCTCTGAATGCAGTTCCTCTGGGTTCAAAGAGCTCGCATTATCAGCCAGAAGCAATCCCAGCTCTGCTCCAAGAATCACTTAAATCATTGCTATGCTGGTGGAGCTGTGGGAGGGGAGCATGCAATGCTCACAAGTCTGCATTGTTATTATATAAAGCCTGGCACTCATCTGCTAAAGCAAACAAACCCAGGTTTTTTTTTTCAAGACAACCATTTGGTGCTTAATTTTCATATCCACAGTCCAACTGCAGCTGGCTAGGTGCCCACCACCATAGAGTTATTTACATATTTTTCTCCAGCAGCTGCAGTAACCTGTTCTGTTCTTCATGTCTTGCCAGGCTGGCTCAGCCTTTGTCATGGTCTCACTGGAGAGAAATATTTCAGTCTAATGCGATTAAACAAACCAGCTCCCACTGTAGTTCAGTTTTTAGTGTAGAAAGGTCAAAGTAGAAACCTTTGGTTCCACTTTGAAAGAGAATTATCTCCTTATCCCATCATGCACTGTAACATGCTACATGTGTTTGGGAATGCTGATTACTTAAGCCAAAGGTTCTGTCAAAGATAAAGTTTGCAGAGTAAAACATGTGAGAAGGAAGAAGACAGGCCTAGGGAGATAATGAGGTATGTGCATGGGATCAGTCTCTCTTGGATATATTACATGATTAATCGAGGAGATGAAAGGAATGCTATTGTGTTTGTGGGGATCCCAGATGAAGGAAGGAATGATGCATCTGACTCCATATTCTTAGAAGGCTAATTTATTATTGTATGATACTACTATATTGTATGATACTACTATATTAAAGAATACTGAACTAAACTATACTAAACTATATTAAAGAATACAGAAAGGATACTTACAGAAGGCTAAAAAACATTAATGAAAAAGTTGTGACTCTCTCCAGAGCCTCGACACAGCTTGACCCTGATTGGCCATTGAGTCAAAACAATTCACATGAAACCAATGAAACAACCACCTGTTGGATAAACAATCTCCAACCACATTCCAAAGCAGCAAAACACAGGAGAAGCAAATGAGATAATATTATTTTCCTTTTTCTCTGAGACTTCTCAGCTTCCCAGGAGAAAAATCCTGGGCAAAGTGATTTTTCAGAAAATATGACTGCCACAGAATGCTTTCTGCTACTTCAAGGTGTGCTCCACCCAAGATCTCAAAGTATTTTACAAAGGATAATTCATTAAGCTTTATAATCATCTTGCCACAAAACTAAGATGACCATGAAGATTTTTCAGTTAATGTCTGTATGTTTAGAGTTTCATGAAGTAGCTCTTTGAACCTGGCTTTCACGTTACAGAATAATAGAATTGCAGATTGATTTGGGTTTGGATTGGAAGGGACCTTAAAGCACTTCTTGTTCTAACTGCTTGCCATGGGCAGGGACATCTACCTTCCACAGGCTGCTCCAAGCCCCGTCTAGCCTGTCCTGGGACACTTCCACGGATGGGGCAGCCAGAGCTGCTCTGGGCACCCTGTGCCAGGGCCTCACCACCCTCACAGGGCAGAATTTCTTCTCAATATGCCATCTAACCTTCCCCTCTGGCAGTGAGAAGCCATTGTCCCTTGTCCATGCCCTTGTCCAAAGTCCCTCTCCATTTCTCTTGGAGCCCTTTTAGGGGCTTTCAATATATCTGTCTCATTGGAAAATGTTTTTCCAGTCCACAGCTGGGGACAACAGTGAAGTGCTGGAGTACTGCCTCATTTAACACTTGTGTTGGAGCTGCATTTCCCTAAAGAACAGCCCCAGCTAACCATGAACCTACAGTAGGAAGTCATTTCTGTCTTGAGTTTGGTACAGTCAGGAAAGACCATGCCCTACCCCACTTTCCTGCAGCCTGTGCTCTGTACTGAATTTTGAGGGCTAGCAGCATCACATCACTTCTTTCTTTACCATGAGAATGCATGTAGATGGGCAGGAGCAAGAATCAGAAGTTTTGGGCAGCCATGAAAGAGATTTGGAGTAAATGGGCAGGAGATACAGCAAATGAGGAAAAGCTTTTATTTGATGGTGATATTTGCAGGCTTCCTCTGCACTGTTAAACCCCAGTTCTGAGTATGAGAATAGCATAGATTTGAAGGATTTAGTTTGTTTTATACTGTTGGGAAAAATTTTGAATGTACAAAAAAGATCAGATCAGCTTCAGCATGGCCCTATGTAGTGTGGTGTGACAGGCTGGCATGCAGAAAATTGTGCCCTGGAAAGATCAGAGCCATTGCTCGGGGACTGGGTGGATGTCCTCGATTGGTGGATAATCTGCCCAAATGCAGGAATTTAAGGCTGGGCCTGTTCTGACTGAACCTCTGAGCTTCTTCAAGTGCAGAAGGCATAGCCCCATGGAATCCAGAAAAACAACTGCTGTGTTCAAAATGTTGGGCTTCCCAAACTGTAGAGAACTAACAAGTGGCATGGATTCACTGACAGTCCTTCCTGTGTGCCAAGGAGACCAGGCCAGTTCTCCTTCCAGGAGAACTTTCTACCAGGAAATATTGCCCCAGTTTCACAGGCATGGTGTCCACCTCTGTCTCTCCCATTAGTGTGGACAGATCTGTGATATTCCCATCATAAATGATCATCTGGGGATTTACTCACACCACTAACAGAAATGATCCCCAGCCCAGTGCACGTGTGTGCAACCCCCAAGGCACATGTGGCCACATCCTTAAGGACTGCTTGAGGTCGAGCACCAATTTGGCAGTTATCTTGGAGAACAGACCTGAAAACACCTGTCTGACATGTGAGACTCATACTCAGCTTTAAACATGGAATTAATCTGGTATTTGCTGGGTAATAAGGAAGCAGTTGATAAACTATGATGCAGCTGTTGCTTGGATTTGCATTTTTAGAACGTGTTTGGAGCGGGAAGCCAGGGAATGCTAGCAAACTGCAGACACTTAAATGGTCTCAGAATAGAGGAAGGCAGAGAGATCAGTTTGAGGCTACATGGCCAGTGAGGCCATTGACAGTTTATACTGATGATTTGACTTAAAAAGCAATAAAGAGTTAAGCCAGTGATGCATGGTGGGCATTGTGTAGATGAGCCTTCACTTGCAGGAGTCATAGTGCAAGTGGCTGCAAGTGTGCATCTTCTCATCTGTGCCAGTATTGGGCTGGTTTGACCGGGCCTGGAGGAGCAGAAGATCAGATCTGCTCAAGCCTGGCAAGTTTGCATGTTGCAGAACATAAATCACTATTTTCCCTCTCTACCCCTTCTAAGCAAGTATGTTTGGATGGTACCATCCCTGGCTGTTCTGGTTCAGTGGCCATCCCACCCTGTGGCAGGGTCTGGAGGACTGGCCTGAGGCCAGTAGGGAGAATACCTTCACCTTACATCTGGCAAGGAGCTGGAAGTCCTTCCATTGTAGTGCCTGGGCACCTTCTGGTGCTGAGCCAGCCTCAGGATATATTTGGCTTCATAACTAGGACTTGCAGAAGGAGAAATTTCTGTGTGAAGAATCCATACTTCTGTGGGCCACCCATGGGCACTGTGACTACTGAACCCTTTATTTTTGCTCTGTTACATAAATCTCTTGAATTTAGTTTACTTTTTCATCTAGTTTTCTCCTCACCCTACACATTTCTCTTTTGGTGTCAATGACAGGGAGCACCCTGGCCACACCAGCCAATTCATGACCAATTTTCCTTTTAGTTATTGTAAAAAGTACCTTCTCACGTAAAAGAAATAGCAACATTTGCTTTCTACAGGACTCTGCTGTTGGGATATATACACAAGGAAGGACCAACACCTTATTGGAAGATAGATACCCCCATTACTCTTATCTTCCCAGGAAACAGTCTTGCCAGGTTGTCCCTGCAGTCCTTGGCCCATTGGTGAGTCTTTGCCTGAATGAACTCACTCTAGGAAGGACCTCCCCTTTGCAGTTCCCCCATCTTCTGCAGAAATGCCTCCTTCCTCTGCAGCACCTATGTGAATCTGCTTGTGTAGGCAACAGCAGTTTGCAGCAATTGTCCCCTTCATTGTCTGTGA